CGACCCGACCCGACCCACCCACCCACCCGCCCGCCCACCCGCCCACCCACCCACCCCCCATTTTACTTGTTTAGGCCCTTATACCAATATAGGTTTGTTGTTTGCCCACACCCCCCCCCATTTGCTTTTTGAGGCCCTTATACCAATAGGTGTGTGGTTGTTTGTTGTGTTGTTGTTTTTTGGGGGGTGGAGTTTGGGACACCGTTGAGGTGATGAGAAGCCCGAACAGCCCAGTCGCGGACCTTTAGCCGGACAGCCAGGGCCTCAGGCTACAAGAGGCCAATGTCTGTGAAAAAAGACATCTGTCGGCTACAGGACATATGGGCCCTTCTTCCGCATGAATCAGCCCTTGGCAATCCGTTGTCAGGGCTTTTTTTTTTTTTGGGGGGGGGGGGAGCGAAGTGGGAGGCTTTGAAGGGGGGCTGGAATCTCGTGACGCTAGTCAGCCAGAGCTGCACATTGAGCGGGCTGTTGAGACTGAAAGTGATCAGAATGGCATCCCACTTCCCGTGCCAGAACAGATTTGGGGAGGACAGGGGTGACTGCTGTAACGCCCTTGGTGGCTTCATGGCGAAGTTGTCAACTGAAGCTGCTTTGTTTTATATGATGACTGTTCCTACGGTCTAGGTGTCATTGAAGTCAGCATTCCGTTCCTCACGTTCAGGGTCGATCTGTTCTTAGCGCGGGGGATGGCAACCAAACTACTTTCAGGGTGCCAGCTTCGATTCCGCGCCGTGCGAGGCCTTTGTTCTTCAAAGGAAATCGGTCAAGCCTCAAGGAGGAGGATGTGAAGCTGGAACGCGAGGAGCCAGCTGAAGGTTGGGGCCTGCCAGGGTTCTAGGGGTACCTTCCACTTCGCCATTCTTTCCAGGGATCCGAATCTTTTCAGGAAACCAGCAAAAACCCAGGGGAAACGGATCCGGGTTTTTTAAAAGAACGATGCTTGGGGAATGAACCACAGACAAAGTGGCCGCTTCCCGATTTTTCTACCATTGTTTCAACTAAAAAGGGCTTCCTCAGGACAAGACTCGCAGGAGGGACATGGCGGCAAGCCACTGAAACTCGACACCGAGCACTTACTATTTGTCCCACTTCCATTACCTACAGTATAGCTTGACTTTGGCTGAATGTCAATTTAATCTTGGCCGTGTCCAGAACCTCGTGGTGCAATCTTCTGGGTAGCTCGACTCGGAAGCTGCGCCTTTCGCCTTGAATGCCTTGACAACAGCGTGATCCCGCTCCTTTTTGAGATGCTAAGAGGAGGTAATGTCGATCAGCACATTCTGGCTTATTTGGCTTTCAAGTTTGCAAGCTTTTGAGGTTTTTGTTGGCTGTATTCATTTGTGTTCACCATGGTAGTCAAAGCTCGGGTTCTCCTTTTTTGGTGCTTTGGATTGGTGGTTTGGATTCAGATTTGAACTCCTGGTTCTTGAGGGTAAACGGGTTTTAATTCTAACCGAACCCAAAGCGCCGATTCGGCTCCAAACCACCCTTGAGGGAAGCCGACAAGCTCAAGCATAAACTTTGGCCAAATGTCTGGTCAGTCTGTTCCTTGGGCTTCAAATCCACCCGGCGAGTCACCTGCTTCATCTTCGCCGGGTTGAAACCCGAGCTGCCAGCATCCAGCCAAAGCCGAACTTGCTGGTGCGATAGGGGAATGAGAATTGGACTGCCCCTTGTACACCATCCCTGGCGTTTTCCTGCAAGACGCCCCCATGCCCACATTCCCTACCGAGCTCCAGCAAGCTAAAGGTTTCCTTGGCTCCCAGCATCCAGCCATCAGACACTTTTTTTTGCAGCTTGCAGAACTTTATGACACGCTCAAGAGTATAAACATCGCCATCCACGCAGTTCGGCCCAGAGCTCTGTATCTTTGAGGCCTCGGGTCTTGAAACACACCTTCCGTTGCTGCCTTCTGATATCAACCGGCGTGTGCAAATTTGTTTCTCGGTTCCGAATGTCATCGACCTCCGTTTTTCTTTCTTGGGTGGGCCCTGAAATTCAAAAAACATGAGCCTAAAAAGGTGGCCCTGTTTCTAGGGGCAATAAGGTTTTGCCTAGTCAGAAACTGATCCCGAGTGTTCAACGGTGCCATGATGTTTCCGGGATGTTCCCCATGTTTGTTTGCCATTTTTCCTGGATTCCGGTAAATCGGAGGTCTCCGAAAACACGACATGTCCAGTGGAGTCGACTCAAGGTCCAGGTTCTGTTCCAGGGTTTCTGTGTCCACTGGGGTGGTTCTCTGGAACGAAGTTGCCGCGTTTGAATGTCATGGGGTTCCCTTCCTGTTTGCTAGCTGGTTGGATGGGGGCCGAAGGGAGCTGGGGGCAACCGGGTGTCCAATGTTAAGCCAAAAGGGGAGCCTTTCGAAGCTGTAAGGACGTCGAAGTATGCGAAGAAGGAGATTTGATGTCGGCATGCCTACCAACATGTGACATGCGCCAGGAGCAAGCAAATGTGAAGACCAGGGACAACAAGGATTTGCAGTGACCCGCACCTGCTTTGGCTATCCGCACAACACCCGCATGGCATATTACCCAAATAGAACGACAAATGGATGCATACTTGTTGGCCTCTCCAGATCCTTAGGGTTTTTGGCACCCTGTTCACCTGAAAGGTTCCTTTGCTGAACTGGATTGGCCCCGTTGTGCGTCCTGTTTGAGCCTGGTTGATACCGTTTCCGGCAATGAGGTACAGCAGCATCACTGAGAAGGTCATGACAAAGAATGAGCCGCCTTGGCTGAAATGAGGGCAACTATCTCCGCCAACAAAAACGTGCTGTGATTTGAGATTCGGCTAAGTTGACCCCCCATTCCCTTTCAAAACCCAGGCAGACAGCGGCTGAACCTCCAAACCACCAGCCCAAACTATCAATCAAGGATAAGGCGAGACTCTCTTGGCAAATGATTGCTTGTCCCCAGACAAAGTGCAGCCAAAGTTGCTGGTACAAGTAACAAGTCATGGTGCACGCCTACAGAACGCTTTTGCTGGGGCTGTGGAATGATTACAGGCCGCAAGGGGGTCGCAGAATTCCGGCACAGGCCCCGCAGGTTGCACTTCAGAGCTCTAGTGGTGCCGCGTGTTCCCTTTTGTGCCGGAGTTTGCCTTCAAACTACCAAAAGAACGTTGTTGTGTTTCTCGCGGCCGCATGGGCTAATTATCTCACCGAGGATTGAGGAGAAGATCAAAGCAGAGGCTGAGATCGATGCCTATGAAGAAGGCCGAGCGCCACCTGGGGTTGCATACTGACTCCCCCATTGCAGTTTAGCCAGGGTGGGGGCTTTGGGTGGCGAGGTGGCCCAAAACCCTGTAAAACAGGGGTTGTGGGGTCAAGGAGTTTATCCCCGCTTCTGTGATACAAGGGATTCCCCCTTTATGTGAAAAGCATAGTCTTTGTGAAGCCCTTTCTGTTGTATCACAGAAGTTGTCATTTTTCACAGCTCTGCAAAATGATAAGGAGGAACAAACACCGACAACTTGTGCCAGGTCCTTTACATTTAAAGGAAAGGCTCCCTCCGGGTCCTAACCCCGGATTGGGGCAATTGAAATGGGGGCCGGGGTTTCTCAAAATGGGATTCGGACCCCCTGGTTGGCATTTCAAGGGAAACCGAAAGGAACCCGGCAAGCCTTGTCATTTTAGGAGCTGGAGCCCTGAATGAGAAACACCCACTGGCACAGTAAGCTGGTACCTTGTGTGGTCACGTGGACTCAAGCATTTGCAAGTCGTCCGCCCTGAATTGAGTTCGTGCGTCAATTCATGCTTGATCCTTTTCTGGGAGTGGCTTGAGCAAAAGTATTGAATCGTTTCAGCGTTCCTTTGTCTCGTTGAGGCTGGGAACATAGCGCTTCAAGCCCACCCTGAGTGGCACCCCGTAACAATGTACCTGGAAGATCAATCTAATCAATTTCCTCCTCAACATGGGACCTCCAGGTGCCATGTTGTGGGGAGTGGTATTTCACGATTCTTGGTGAGCGCTCGCAGTTCAGGCAAGCTGGACCGTGATTGGTACATGGTCCTGGCCTCAGGCACCGAGCGCCGCAAGGCTTCCGTGAGCCAGCGCGCCATTCCCATTTGGGGTCCTTTGATCCTTCCAATGTTGAATTCACCTTTTGCATGCACAAGGTGCATACTGTAGGGAGGGGCTTCATCCCACATTTGTTCCCAGCTGACCGGGGATCAGTCGCTTACACAGGGGAGCACGAGACCAACGGCAAGGAAAGAGTTCAACGCTTGCCAAACCAAGAGAGAACAATTTGAACTTCTTGATTGTGTTTTCTTCTTGGGGAGATGGGCCTGGCCAGTGAACTGATGTGAATGCGAGGTTAGTCGAATACCCTTTGGACGTCAGTCACGTTGGAATGTATGTCCTCCATCCTCTGAATGCATGCCCAATAATTACTCACCATGTTTGTTGTGCTATATGTGTACATATCTACACAGATTGTACAGACATATTGACTTATGTTCTTTACTCAAACAAACACATTGCTATGCAGAATGTAGAAGGGTTCCATTTCAGTTCCTCTCTTGCTGATGTTGAACATCACCCTGCAAAGGGAACGCATATGTGTGTGTGGGTGGTTGTTTTAAGGGGAGCCCCTTTTGGGGTTGGCTTTAAAGGGAATCCAAAACAGCGACATGAAGCATTGCGGGGATGCCCGAATTTTGAGACACCCCAATATCTTGCTGATTCTCTTAGGGAATCAATGAGGGTTTTGCAAATGAACCAAGGGATCCCCATAAAGGAGAATCAAAGGGATGGCAGTTCATACATTGCCAAACAATCAAGATGGGTGCCTCAAAAAAGCCGCGCCTTGGATAGGGAGCCCTGAAAAATAATAATAATCAGGAACATCCCCTCCAAACGGGTACCCCTGAAAAAAAAAAACACAAAAAAGCGCACCCACCTAGGGAGCCGTCCGTTTTTCCCTTCCGCTTGGCGCCTCGTTCCGGTCCGTTCCTGTTCGCCAAGGCCGAGGAGGGTGGCGCTGCGCAGGGCATGGACGAGATGGACCCTGTGCGCGAGGCGAGGCGACGGGGGAAATTGTGGCCCGGAGGAGGAGGCCAGCGGGGCCAGCTGAATGCTTTCATTTGTTTTTTTGGTTTTTTCCTTTGTCTTTGGTTTTAAAGGGAATCTATCACTAGTGGACATATGGTATTTTTTCCGGGGATTTGAGCAAATGGAGGTTTAGAAACACCTTTGACCATCGGGGATGTGAATAGTTTAAGACATACCCATGTGGGCCAGTTGAAGTTCGCAACGCCAGCTATTTCTTGTAACGCATGTGGTTTCCGATGCATCCCCCCCAAAAATATGTTTACAGGCGTGGTGTTTCTCTTTACCCAACGACTTTGGGGGCTGATACTTTGTTTCGCTTCACCGCCTGGGTCACTCCAAGTTGCATGTTCAGTGGTTCTCGAAACGACTTTCGGCTTAGTTGCCCGAAACGAGTTGGCCGTTTGAACCTTTTGGTTTCCCAGTTTTGGTCAATTTTTAGTCGAGGTCACAACAGACCACGAGAAGGATACGCTCTTCTTCTTCAGGTCCTTGGGCAAGTGAAGCGGGGGTGATTCACCTTATTTTTGCGTGTGCCCAGTTTGCAGCACCTTTTTTGGTACTTGTCATGAACTTGGGGTGACTGGGTGGGTTCTCCTGTTTTCTTGTTTCTTGCACTCTTTTGAGGGACTCCCCTGCATTCCTTTCTTCGTGCAGGCCCTCCTTGCCAACCAACCAAGCAACAGCCACTTGCCCGGCGGCACCCTGTTTCTACTTTTTGACCAGGGCCCCTCTTTAGAAGCAACCCACAAAAACGGTTGCCCTTTTGATACCATGACCACTGGACTTCAAAGGAAATTACCTGCGGGATGGCTTCATAGCTGCTGAGTTGCATGAGCTTTTTTGGCTCCGTTTGTCCTGAAAGCTGGCCTGGAGAAAGACTTTGCTTCAGGTTTGTACCTGAAAAGGGGAGGGAGTTGGGTGACAACACCACTGGACTTCAAAGGAAATTACCTGCGGGATGGCTTCATAGCTGCTGAGTTGCATGAGCTTTTTTGGCTCCGTTTGTCCTGAAAGCTGGCCTGGAGAAAGACTTTGCTTCAGGTTTGTACCTGAAAAGGGAGGGAGTTGGGTGACAACATTGTCCGCACAAAATGGGGCGTGCCGATCACAGTACCCCGTTAGAATCAGGACAAAATGTGTTGGTTGAGCAAGGGTGGATGGGTGCATGTTGCACACTTTTTGGGGTGCAGCCTTGCCATTGACATTCCTCGCTTGTTTGGGCTGGACTGTTGTCCCGCCTGCCTCTACATCTTGCCGCTTGCATACATGCTTTTCCGTTTGCTTTAAAAACAAAAAACGTTCCTGTTCACAAGCGGGAGGGGAGGGTGGGCAGAAGAGGACTTGTCTAAAGCAGGCTGCTGAGAAGGGCAGTGTTGGCACTTCTTGCAAACTGTGCGGATGCACTGTTGTCCTGTGGGCACGGCGAAGCCGATTTGGGAAAGTGAAGCCTAATACGGGACAGTCCCGACCACACAACCTATACCTACACTCACTCCCTGAGTTCAGGAACTTAAAACTTGTTAGGAAGACCATTTGAGTGGTACACAAACAGTGCGGACTGTTTTTGGCCAACCTACTCGGGAAGTGATTACACACATATATATATATATATACATATATATATACACATGATTCTATATATAGTCTATATAGGTGTGGCTGTTTGAGCAGCCATAGAATGTGACTTGTTTTTCCCACAGCGACGTCATGAAGAGTTTGTTTTAACATGGTTCCAGGACAAACTGGGCCCTTCGTTTTTCTTTGCCCAAGGTTTTTGAACAAGTGGGCGAGAATCTGAGCGTCCAGGTGGATTGGCTTGACCATTTCTGGTTCCAGGAAGAAAATGGTCCAGAATGATTTTGTAGTTTCCAGGTTGAGCTTGAGCTACAAGTGTCTCTCGTTCTGACAATGTTGTTGAACCACTCAGAAGCTGAAGATAAGCTTGGCATACACGACCTCCAGCTTTCCCAGATACAACCCCCAACTTCCCCTCCTGTGCCCCATCCTTTGAAACAAAACCAGCAGAATCAGTGCCATTTGCAGAACAAACGCTGAACGCTTCCCCCCAAGTCGTTTTTTTTGGTTGGTGTGTGTGTGTGTGTGTTTTGTAAAAATATATATAACATATATATATATATGTATTTGTATGTATATACATGTGCCAAATTTGTCACCCTAAGCATTGTTGTTGTTTTTGCCATTGGTTTCCCTTTTAACCAGTGTGGAAAGGGTACCCTCAAAAAGGTACTCCCAAGTTGAGGTTGGATGGATCCATCCTGCAGTTGCCGGCACTGAGCAGCTTCCATCCCAACGAATACTGAAGCAACCAGTCAGCCAACCCACCATCAACACCTGGCGAACTGTGTTTGTTCGTAAGGGCGAATATCGATTGAAACAGCAAAACCATTAAACTGTCGTTGGCAAATGAGCCACCATCAACACCTGGCGAAATGTGTTTGTTCGTAAGGGTTGAAACAGCAAAAACATCAAACTGTCGTTGGCAAATGAGCCACCATCAACACCTGGCGAAATGTGTTTGTTCGTAAGGGCATCAAACTGTCGTTGGCAAATGAGCCACCATTAACACCTGGCGAACTGTGTTTGTTCGTAAGGGCGAATATCGATTGAAACAGCAAAAACATCAAACTGTCGTTGGCAAATGAGCCACCATCAACACCTGGCGAAATGTGTTTGTTCGTAAGGGCAAATATGGATTTGAAACAGCAAAAACATCAAACTGCCGTTGGCAAATGAGCCACCATCAACACCTGGCGAAATGTGCTTGTTCGTAAGGGCACAGATGCCAGGGTGCGGATATCGACTCACCGTCAGTAGAATTAAGCCCAGCAACTCCTGGACCTATCTGGGCAGAGGTCCCAAAGCTTCCAGGGAAAAACTTGCTGATGGGTAGGGAATACCCTTCCGGGTGTTCGGAATGATTGAGGATTCGAATCCTGAAAGGAGCCCACCAGAAAATTCCAGGAGGAAACTCGTCTTTCTACAGCCTGTGCACAAACCCATGCTCGCTGGTGGGAGGGTAGTTTATGGGCATCATTCCCGAGGGCTCCTTAAGAGATACATTGTGCCCGTTTGAAACATGTTGCTTTTTCAACACCAAAATAAAGTTGGAAACCACCATTCACAAGTTGCAATGTTCAGGTGTATAATCTTTGGTGCATTTGCTTGGCTGTTAGGACTTTAACTTTTGCCAACTAATGGGTTTTCCATTAAACCACTAAAAGTTAAACTTTTGGCAGGGGAGCAGAACGCAACCGAGTAATGTAAGGATCCCTGTTCCCTCATTGCCTGAGCACCCGCTAGAAACCCGGAAATTCCGTCAAGTCTCCAGGCCGAGAAGGAGGAGAAGAAGAAGCGGCAGCTCGCCCAGGCTTGCCAGGGTGTTTGGCAGTCGCCGCAGTGGTGTTTTCTTGGTGGGTGCCTGGGTTTTCCTTAGTTTCGCCCGTCAAAAACATCACCAATTGTTTTGATTGTGTGTTTCAGGTTTCTCCTACCTTGCGACCCCCTTCCAACAGGGTGTTGGGAAGTCGCATTGGTGTTTTCTTGGTGGGTGTCTCTCAGTTTCGCCGGTTCAGAACATCACCAATGATTTTTTCCAGGGTTTCAGGTGTCTCCTTTGTTTTCGAATTATGGTTCTCTGGAATTCGCCTTTGTTTGCCTTGGCTTGGTGTTGTGCATTTTGGGCTCGATGCTGCTTCCCCTTAGGGTCGACCTCAGCCAGATATGCTGAAAAAGGCCAGCAACTTGTCGCTGTCCTGCGTATGAATTTTCCAGTTTCTCAGCACAGTGCGTAGCTGCCACACCAATTCATTTTCAAGGGCTTGCGCAGAATTCCCATCCTTCAGGGTAGTCTCGACATGTCTCGACCCCTGGAATGCAGACTTGTATCCTCACTTCGGGGCCAGACACATCGACTACCCTCACCGCTTCTCCCCTACCTAGGGCTTCAAGAACCTGTAAAAATGTCGTACCCTGACTAAAACATCGTGTTTTTCTCGATTTTCTGAAAACATTGTGTTTTCAGGAAAAACATCGTTTTTTTGATAAAACCCCTTAAAAATTGGCTTCTGAGGCCAAACACTCATTTGGAGCAAAGGGTCAAAGGCAAGGGTCGGGAGTGGATTCACACAGACATCACCCATTAAGATTTCAACTGAGGGCAACGCTCTATACTGAGTATGCTTCAAATTCTAAGGACCACATTGATGAGCCTGACAGCCAGGGTGTGCAGCTGGCTTGAGTCTTGAAGTACCTTTCACAGCAACAGGCACCTGAAGACTGGCGCCAGGTCATACCGAACCAGTTTGAAGGGGGTGCTGGAATCCGAAAGCTCCTTTTGGTGCAAAACAAGACCAGGTGACACTTTTGAGATTGTTTTTATCAATTTTGAGTTTTTTTTAGCAAATGGGGCGGGATCCTGGCGGCTAACCGCAGAAAACCCGCAGAAAACCCGTAGAAACCCATAGAAAACCCGTAGAAACCCGTAGAAAGCCCGCAGCCCCAACCGAAAACATCGTGTTTTTGGAAAACATCGTGTTTTCTAACCCGTAGCTAAACCGTGGAGAACCCGTAGTAAAGCGTGGCAAAGCGTGGAAATTCTATGGGTTTTTCGGGTTCAACCACGAATGCGCTAATTCGAGAATGTTGCTGGAAAACAACGAAGTCGTGAGCAAAAGCACGGTCTTTGCTTGAGCTTGCGCGCTGTTCGAAGCCAGCACGCCCTCATCATGGCACTGCTGCTTGACAAGTGTCATAAAACCGTGGTACTTTTGACTATTTGGGTCCCCGGCCTCCTTCTTTCAGGTTGGAGTTGCGAAAGACGAGTGGCGAATGCGAAGCTGATTTCGTTGCGAGTGCAAAAGGGGAGGGCGATGGGAGATTCTGAGGTTGAGATGATGCTTTTGAGATCTTTTGAGAACGGATGACGAGTTGAAGGAATGTATGGGAAACTGCTTGAAATCGAAATGTGGTGTTTCCCGAAAACATCGTGTTTTCCCAAAAAACATTGTGTTTTTTGTAGGTATGACATTTTCATCGGTTTTTGAGGCTCCTGGTAGGCAAGGAGGAGTTGCCCCAATCTGCATTTGGCATGCGCCTTTTGCGCGCGACGCAGGTTGCGAGAGTGAACATCCGGCAGCAGATGAAGATGCTTAGCTGCAGCTGTATCCCGCTCGCAAGCTCCGAAGCTTTGTTTTGCTTCCCGGCAAGTGGCTCAGCTGCCCAAGGCGAGTCGACCTTTCGACTTTTTCGTTTTTCAAGTTTGGTCCATATGTTTGGTCAAGGTTAGGCTTCTACTTCCATGTCCTTTGGGCAAGTGAGATAGTCAAGCCCAGCAAGGGGCTTCCTTTTTTCTGCCCGGGTTACGGACCAGCTGGGTGATATTCCCCATCGAGCCTGCATGGAAGCCCCCGAGCCCTTCCGGAGCCCCAGTTAGCGCCAAGACACCCCAGACTCTATGTCTGTAGCCATGCCCTTCAATGGAGGGAGGGTCAACTAAAGCCCCCAGGGGACCTGTTGCTGGGAAGTGGCATTGCCAAGGGAGGGGTGCATGAATGCATAGCTGGTGTCAGGCTCTGTATTTTTGGCATCAAGCCTCAGGGGGCCCCTTTAAAGGGAACATGGTCCAAACCAGGGGCCCCAAAAAGAACATGTGAAAAGGGTGGGAGGCTATGCCGTTCCAAGCCCTGCGCCCGTATGGGAGAATCATCGTCGGCTCAGGGATACCCCAGCCAGAGGTGCTCGATTTTTCACCCACGCCCGCCAGATGTTGGACACAGGTCTATTGTTGACCCCGGATGACCTCTGTCTATTGATACGGTGGTGATCCCCTGGCTTTGGGGATTCGTCACTTTTGGAGAGAACTCCCTTCTATTCTTCGAACAGCGCTGTATTAATCCGGGGATTGGCTTTTGAGCCGTCAAACACGTGTGTGGAGACCACCTCCTCCCAGGTCCCATCCGCGGTTTCGGTTTGGGTTTCGTTTGGTCGAGGAACGAAGCGAATGAGATGTGGGAGTTGAACAGGCTGGATGTGAAGCTTCGGAGTTGCGGCGTGTCGGGCTTTGATCCCCTTCCCTCCCTCGATTTTCATGTTTCTGTTCTCCTACAAAACCAATGTTTGAGGCAATCTGGGGACTGCTTGAAAACATGCTCAGCAAATTAAAAGTGCAATTTTCGATCCCAGGGATTTGGAGACAATTGGGCCTCGCCTTTGGAAAGCTGTCCCGTGGCTGACTTGGAATAGCTGGAAGCCGTGTACCCGATTCACGTCTTCGTTCAGTCACGCAGAAGCCCGAGGGCAGACTTTGCGGGCGGGGGATCTGGAGTTATGTTGCTTTGCGAGGCGACACTTTGGCTTGCAGGGCTTGGGTGTTGCTTGGCTAGGTCCCCCAGTAGTGCCCTTTTACCCTGTTTCGGGAGAGGGTTCCCTTTCCAAAATAGACTACAAAAAAAAGGTGTCCTTATTCAAACCTCTCTGCTGGAGGACCTGCTTGGACGTGCTGTACAATGCACTTGGATTTGTGCTACGGGCTTTTGATCCCGCTGAGTGCCAATTTGGGAAGGATCATGTTTTCTTTTGGCGCTGCCTTGAGTGAGTTACAAGGTCCCTAGGCAGTTGCGATTTGCTTAGGAATACTTGCATTTGCCTAAGTTTAATTGCAAGACTTCCATGTGCTCAATAATATGGTTCATGATTCCCTGTTGGTTATGAAAGGGAATCTGTCACTACTGGAAATCTGCTCATTTTTGCTCAGGGGACTTAAGGCAAATGGAGGAATCCTGTCATTTCCGGCAAGCCTTCCAGGGCCTCACTTCCTGAGTTCCGTTTCGGACTTTAGCCACTTGTTGGGGGTTTGGGCCATTTTAATGGTAACTAAGTAACAACCGTTTGGATTCCTTTTTTGGCCCATCCACTGGATGGGAAGTGAGTGGCCCAGCCATTTGGCCCTAGGTAGGACTTGCATAGAGCTGGCGCGCAGATCCCATGCCAATGGAGCTGCCGGAGCGGCTTCAGCACATTCCGCAAGAGGATCTCATCGATGCCGGGGATACGGTTTCATGGCCAGGTCTTAAGCCTTCCATTTGCTTAAGACTATTTCCCTGTTGGTTCTGAAGTACGTTGTTTTGCTCTTGTGAGTTGCCGTCACGAGCATGTTCCACGATTGCGGCAGATGTGAGTTCCAGGTTTGCTACCGCGGCTTCCTGATCCGCAAGAAGCCCAGGCCGCCAAAGGAGCTGCCGGTCAGCCGCCGGCTGACCGACCTGCCCTCGAACTTGGAGCCCGCGGCGCCTTGCAGTCCGAGCGGCGGCTACACGGGGAAGAGCTGTCGCACCACCAGCACGGCGACCCCCAAGAGCCTCTCGGATGGCTCTTCCTCTGCAGACTCCGGCTGGGAGCCCTCTTTCTTCGAGAACGATGAGCCCGAGATCCAAGAGGTGCGATCAAGAGCGGGCCATATCTTCTTTTCCGAGGGAAACCAAGAGGGCTTCGAGGGTTTCATGGGTCACGTCTCATTTGTCCAGCCCAGCAAACAAAAGCCGCACCCCCAGAGGAGCTGATCAGAACCACAATCCTCACCAAGATGGAGGCTCTTGAGCTACAGCGTGCCTTGTTGCAGGCCTTTCAAGGCCCCTCCTTCCAGCGAGATTTGCGGGAGCTGGCGGAAAAGCACCAACTGGCCAATGGCAAGACCAGGGGCTACATGGCGGGGAAGGTTCCCAGTGCGAGTGATCGAGCAAACGCGCCAACAGCGGTACGCTACACGAGCTTGTACTGGGCGTGGTATGGTGTGAGAAATTGCGGGCCTCTAGGTTTTGTCAAATTCACCAGGGAAACCAGCACTTCCATCTGCAACAAACAAAAAACAGAGAAAAGACAACAACCAAAAAGCACAGCATTTGTTTCAGAATATGTTTTATTTCCCCCTGTTGGATTTTAAAGTTGGGATCTGTCACGGACTAGGGACTCCGCAAAGACTGGGTGCGGAGAAAGCCCGGAGCCTTCGCAGCTGCCCCTTGACGTCCGGAGTCTGGAAGAGAACCGCCAAAAGTGGCGACGGCTACCAGGGAAGTTACCAAGCCGATTGACTTTAGGGGGAATTCGGCGATGTTTGTAACATTTTTGGTGGTTTGGATTTGGGTTTTTTTCCCCCCCAATGGAATAAACCACCAATCCAAGCCGCCTCGGAGGTACTTCATTCAATGTGTGCAGACCCAATGCAGGGTTCCCTATAAATCCAACGTTTTCGTGCTCGCTTCAATCAGCACCTTGTGCCATGTTGACTTCGAGTTTCCTTTTCAGGGGTGACGATTAAGGAGGACATATAGGTGTGTCTTTTATTAGGCCCCCACCCGCCCCCCGAAATAGGTGGTGTTCCCTTTTGGTTTCCCTTTCAAACCCACCAACCAGGGGTACCAACTAGTTCAACAACAAAAACAAAGAAAAGACAGCCCCCATTCAGGAAAACCCCCTCCCCCCCTCCACCCAATTGTTCAGCGACTCCAAACAAGAATCATTGGTGGCCCCTTTCGAGGTGGGCTTCATGCACTTGGTGCGGGGAGAGCAGATGAAGGTCCTTCCGGACTTCGGGTTTGAGGCATAGGTGTCGTTTTTTGGTTGTTTTGGTGGAAAAATAGAGATGGCCCTGGTTTTTGTTTGGTGGTTCAACCAACTACCAGGGCCATCTATTTGCCCTAAAAGGGCACCTATGGCTTGAGGCTTCAGAGCATGGGGTGGAAGCGATGCTGCGAGCCTTCGCAGAGTGGAAGGGGGATCCAGACATCCAGGTCCACGAGAAGATCATTCAGGACACGGCGGCCCGTTTTTGTTTGGTTGACTTCTTTGCTGAATCTTGTTTCATAGTTTGTCTAAGACTAATTTTCTTGCAGTTTGATTTCAGCTTCCCTAGTGGTTTGGAGCGAAGGCTTCCCATAAAGAACACTCAAATTTCGGGCGGAGGCAATCTGCATGATGGTTGGCGTGAGTTACGCAAGGGGTCCCCATTGGTGGTGGTTTTTTCCTGGGGAAGTTCTCGATTCGGCTTGGCGGTCGTGGCATTTTGAGGGGCCGGTCAGGACAGCCTGCGAAGTTCAGAGGCCATTGAGCCACCGAAAGAAGCGCCACGTGTCCGGGACAGGCCAAGAAACAAGCTCGCGATCGAGGACATGCTAAGAGCGCTGCTTTTTTCCTTCAGCCAGCCCTGGTTCCAGGACAAGGTCCATGAGCTCAAGCGCTCAGCGGATTTCTGCTCGGGCCGCGTTCGGCGCAACATGCTCGGCGGAGCGGCCTTTGGCCATTCCGCGGACCCGGAGGGGTACTACCAGCTCTCAGGCCGGGCCGAGCTGGCCATGTTGGTGCACGAGAAGGTGCTGCCTTCCTATAGTTTCGAGGGCACGCCTGAGGGTGTGCAGGAGACTCACTCGCGCTTGCGAACCGACCTTGTGACACTTCTTTGTTCCTGGTTCTGGTATAGTCAAGATTGTAGGTGATCATGGAGTTTTGGCTAGTGTCACCTGGGGAAACCGAAAAAAAATGAGGAGATGCTGGTTCATGTGGCCCCCTACCTTGGGGACAAAGACGTGGCCCTGCTCTTCGATTCCATCAACGGCAAGCTGGGAATGGAGTCCAACGGGCAGCTTCGCTTCCGTCGTCTCGCGCACTCGGCCGAAGGACTCGACCTGCAGGCGAGGGACCCCCGATATTCCGGGGGACGATGGATTCATCTATGGACTTTAGCCACGGGGGTTTGGACCAATTTTTGTATAGAAACAGTTCCAGGTTCTTGTTTTGGCCAATTCGATCCGTGAGGATCAGAGAAAGGGGAGCCATGGGAACCGCTTCGCTTTGAGGGTCAGGGTCCCGATTCGGCGCTCCTCCGCCGTTTCCGCGAGAGCCATTTCTCTTAAAGGGAACCTCCAAAAGTGGCAGATGGAAACCATCAGTAGCAACCTTGGGGAAATCGAGTTTCTTGTAGCAGTCTGATAGGAACATCAGATTGAATGCTTAAAGTCCTGGTTGATTAGGGGGGTATCCTCTTTCAGGTGTCATCCCTTTTGGAGGGGGCACCCTCCTAATAGGACAGGTTGTTCAATTAGGCATATATGGCCCTGGCCGACTTGGCCGTTTCATAACCTACCTGGGCCATCTATTTTCCCACAAGGACACCTGTCCTCGATTGCTATTGGGCAACGGGTCTTTAGACTCTAACTTGATTGAAGTCAAGGGTGTTTTCCGAATTGAACCCACAAATTGAATCAAGGGAATTTCCATTGAAACCACAAACAGGAATTCACTTTTTGCAGAGGGGTCAACGGCAACCCTCCCGTGAAGGGATTTCGACCCCCCGGAATTAATTTCATTTATGTACCTTCCCCAGTCTTTTCAGGGATCCGAATCTTTTTATGAAAACCACCCAACGCCCTGGGGAGATGGCGATCGGTTTTTGCAAAGAACGATGGCTGAAAAGAATGGACAAGGAATCAACCCCTGGAATACTGGATATATCTTCTTCTTTTTCAGGGCTTAAGCAAACCTTTGTTGATTTTCCCCTTTTGGTTTTTAAGGGAATCTATCACTACTGGATATGGGTATGGGTCAAAATTAAACCACCAGGGGACCGCAGGTTTTAATCCATGTTTCCATTTACCAGGATTCGATTTTGGGTACATGTTTTTGACCCACATCCATATATATTTTATTTTCTCAGGGACTTCAGCAAATGGAGGCCCACCGAAGCCAGGCCTTGCGCTGCTCCTCGCCGCAACGACGCCGCACCTCCCGCTCGCCCTCGCCCCGAAGGGCACCGATCCGCGCCTGAGGCGGGAAGCGAAAGGTTCGGTGCGGAGAAGTTGGAATGAGCCCGACCAAAACCATTTGGTTTAAAGGCAATCTTGGCTAGGAATGTGTACATTTTTATTTTTTGTCAGGGGAGAAAAATGCAAATGGAAGCCATGCCTTAACTTCCTTCCAGTTGCTGAAATGAACAGGTGTTATTTTCTCCTTGTTGGTTTTAAAGGGAATCTATCATTGCTAGCAATAAGTTGTTGTTTTTGGTTGCAGGGGGCGAAAAAGCGAATGGAAGCTTCCTGAGTTCCGTTCCTGGGTGGGTGGGACCGGGGTTCCCAATCCGATACCCAGAGGGTGTCCCCAAAATAGGCCATCTGCCAAGAAACGGGGGGGAACTCAGAACAGTGCCTGGCGCACTTAGTGGCCTGAGCATCCTCGAGGTCGCAGAACTGCTCGTTGAGGGCGAGTTGGGCAAACAGGAGGTCGTTAGCCAGCCGACCCAGGGTTTAGGAAAGGACCGTTTCAAGGAAAAGAGGGGATGGTTCATAGGGGTTACTTTCTCATTCCTGCCAATCGAACCAGCAACAAGAAATCCAATCCCGACCCCCGCAAGAGGATGCACTTCCTGAGTGGATTGGTCAGCCCCAGGTGCTGAACTTGGAGAACATTCTCGATCCATTGGCTGGGCGGGCATCTGTGTTTTTCAGCGGGGTCCCCTCATTTGCGGAATGAAGATGTTTTATTCTCCCCTCTTGGTTTAAAGGGAATCTATCACTACTGGAAATATGTGTGTTTCCAGCGGACTTCAGCAAATGGAAGTTATATATTATCCAGTTGCGCATTTCAGAAACGAGCAGATTGAGCCAATGACATGCGCAACTCGAGTGAAGAGGGGCCTCTGTGGGGCCTCTGTGGTGCCAAAAGGCCCCAGTCGTCGTCACTGTGGCGGTTGGGGCTAACTTGACCTCGATAGGTAGAGCACTCGGTATGTCATAAGTTGGACAGCTGGATGGTGCATGTTGTTGTGTAGTTTCCGACATTTTGCGGTTGCAGCGGCGGGGCCGCTTTTGTTTGCCCCGCCCATCCATCTTGTTTGTTCTGCCCGTGGGTATTGCGGGCCTGGTGCACCCACTCGCGGGGCACCCAGCGAATGGCTGCAGTGTACGCGGGCCGAAGATTCAAGGTGTACCATGTCGCAGAGACCTACTGTGGGTGACCGAAGAAACCCTGGAATGATGAATCCCCCCCGTAAATTCCAACAAACGATGGCTTCCCATGGTTGCAAAGTGGGCGAACAGGTTTCGTCCATCCACAGTACTTTCGTGTTCTCTGCGCATTTTGCCTTTAGAGCTTGGCTCATGCTCATGCGCTTGCTTTCTTGAAAACAAGAGCATGGTTGGTTCAAAAGGGTCACGATGTTTTCTTTCCTGGAAGTGGACGTCTTCGAATGCATGGCCGCTCTCCCAAATTGCCTGGCAGCCTTGGCAGGCCTGCTGCCGCTATGTTGTTTAAGGCTCTGACCGAGACTCTGACCACTCTAGAAAATGGGCTGCTGCTGTTGCGTGCAGCCTGTGACCCTGAGCTGGGGAATGTCACCCCCGCCAAGAATGGTTTAGCGACGGTGCCTCTTTGGCTTCGCTGTTTTTTGTTGTGTGTTTTGTGATTTGAGGCGGGGCTCGCATTCTTTTGGCGCAGCAGGGTGCGCGGAATCCTCCGTGTATTGTCCGCCAATTGGCCTTAGTTGGCCTTGCGTTTCCCAGCTGATGGTTGACCGTGAAGCGCATGTGCAGGCTTGTTCGCGAAGAGGCGATGGTGGCACATCTCAGTACTATGGGTGTCGCTTTTTCGGGCACCGTGCTTGGGGTTGCACACAAGGAACACATTTCAAGGCCTTTCAGTCAATAGGCTTTTGTTTGTACCCTTACCGGTTCCCCTTCTCCCTTGTACCCTTAACGTTTGGATTACAATATAACTACCTATAATTACACAATAATTATGTTGTAAATTGGATTTCTGAAACAGGGCTCTTTAAAAGATACATGTTGCCCATTCGAAACATGGCTTTTTCCACCAAAATAAAGAACCACCATGTATTTACAAGGCAATGTTCAGGTGTATAATGTAAGGATCCCTGTGAAATAGTGGTACCCTTAGGGGTCCAACCTATAGACGCTATCAGCAGTATATGCCGATGCCCTCTGCAATCGTTTCGGATGTGTAGGGCCATAGTTCTGGCCGCAGATTCGACCCTTTTCTCGGGATGGCAGGCAGGCCTCGAAAAGGCGCCCCGAAATGGCTTGGCCACGTCGCTTCCCCGTTGGGGCGATGTGCCGGGCAAGAGTGGCGGTGGGAAGAATACGCACAGATACCGCACGTGTTCGCTGGATTTTACCAGTCCCTCATTTGTTCAAAGCCGACCTTTTGACCTTTTGGTTTGCCAAGTTGGTCCATATTTAGTCATGGCCCCAAAAGGTTAGCCTTTTAGTGCCAGGTTTTTTGGGCAACTGAGGTCCATGTGTTCCAGTCAAGGTGCGTTTTCTGACCTCCCATTCTGCCAGGCGGTTCTCAAAGGGTTGCGCGACAAAACCAGGGCCCCTTGCGTGAGTTTGTACTTTAGCGGGCAAACATTGCATTGAATCCCTGCAAGCATGCAGCACCATTGCGCAACTTGGATAATATGGCCACAGGTTGGGGACAATGAACATGTCGTCACAAGCCTATTTGTTGTGTTGTTGTGTTTAGAACAATAAACGATAAGCATATCCTGTGCATTCAAAACCGAGGTTGAAAAAGTAGGCGACAGGCCATCGGCGGCCTCGTGGTCACATCATTGAGGTGTTCTTTTCCCCAGAGGATTGATGAGAGTGAGATTATGCGTTTCATGGTCCAGTCCTCACGGAAAGGGGAACTAGCCTGGTCACGTGTGTGTTGCCGGTGAGGCAACATAGGAAGTAGCAACAATTCCTGAATCGTTTGCCCACGGTCAGCTCAATTTGGAGCAGCGCAACATCAAATGAGAACCCTACGGCCGAGGTCATGGACTTTAGTCACTTTTGAGATTGGACCATAGTGGCAAAGAGCTAAGTTTGGACAACTGACCAAGTCTCCTATGGTTTCCTTGAAGGGAATCCCCAGATGGTTCATTCCCAAACCTGGTCCACTCGAATTTGAGCCACATCAAAGCCCGGGAAGATGCAGGTGCGGCCGCCTTCTGAACTTCTGAATTCTTGAAGCATGGTTCTGGGATTACGACCATTTTAATACCGGGTCTTGATTGGGCCTGGCTTACACATGTCATTTTTCCTCGAATCCTTTGTGCCACAGACAGCTGGCCTGAGGCGCTCGACGCAAATGGGAGAAAACAACACGCTGCATGTTGTGTATGGTCCCCGTGTGTTTTGTTCTTGAACATCGTTCCAAAAAGGGGGCGCCCTCCAAGAAAATATATATGTTTGTTTTTTTGAGGCTCCCCGCATTGGGGCAAGGTTATGCGGAAGTGGGAGGAATGAACTTGCGGCTGATATGGTCGTTTGATCTGCTTGTGGTTTTTGCACATCGAGGCTTGGGCCCTTGATGCCTTGATGGCGCACGCTTGAAGCACCTGGCCTGGCGCAGCATCGGCTTTGAGGTTTCTGCTTTCTGTGATGCCGAGCACGGTTTTTTGTACACCCCTGGTTGAATACTGGCGGCGTGTCCATGTTTAGTGGTCATTCATCGCTTTTGGACGCAAGCCCCCCCTTTTAATGGGAAGGGTCAACATTACCCCTCTGAAAAACAATTTACCGGGATGGCCCACTTTGGTTGGACAGGTTTGTTTTTCCGCAACCATGTTATTTTGTGATCTCGACTGAAAGGATCCCTGTATGCCTCTAGCACCCGCATCAACCAAGTGTGTCTATAAATGAGGTTTGCCACGCCAAGCTCCCGTGAATTCCCCTTTGAGCCGCACCAGCCCTACCATGGTACCTTCAATCAGGACACAGCCATGTGCGAAAACAATATGCATGCATATATAAACATATATATATATATACATATTCTATATCTACACATGTAAGCTTCCAAACGCGCAAAACAGCTGACCGGGTTGCCGGCCAAACCACAGATCTTCGCGAACGAAACGCGTTCGCGAGGCTGGGCGCGATGGGCTTGGCGGAGCGCAAGGAGGTGAAGTTGGACTTCTCCAAGGAGGGGCGTGCGATGCGATGCGCGCAGCTCGGACAGCCGAAAGCCGAAAAATATTGGGCTGGGGACATCTTCCCCAGAGTTAGTTCCCCTTGTTAGTCTTCCACAAACCAGGCAACAAATGATATATGTTTTGCTGGGGTCCTAGTTCCAGCGAAGAAATGGCATTTTCATTACACCTACACAAGCTAGACAACTTGTGCAGGGGGGGAGGGCAACCCAGCACTTGCTATTTTGGTGAGTGGTGCTACTACCTGGCTTCATCAAGATTACAGTCATTGAGACAAATACAAACCATTTGGAACCGAGAGTCTGTGAACTATTGGAGGGTAGGGGAGTGTCCCAACATTAGGCGCGGGCGCCCTGAAATTTCCTTACATGGATTTGGGTAGCCTAGTTCAACACCGGGTATTCCTTGTGACTCAGAAGTCTCCGCTCCGTGGCTTATTTCACCAGGCTTACAAACCACCTACTAAGTACCTATTTGGAAAGACTCTGTTCAACGGCACCCTGTTCCCCTTTTGAGGAGGTTCGAACTTGGCAACAGCAACTCCAAAGGAATACCCAGACCTGTGGGATGCCAGTTCCTGTTTGTTTCTTTCTGGGAGGGAGTTGACCATGGAAGTCAACTACAAAAGAAGGGTCCCCGTGTTTTCCAACAGTTTGGGCAGCAGTAACCTCACCAGTTCAAGGCAGAGTTGTTTTGGGTATCTCGCATCTTCCAGCTCAACTCCTAGCTTTCCCCTTGCTCGATGTTTGCACCTAGCTTGAATTCGCTCCAAATGGCCTTGTTTTTTTCTTGGGCGTGGTTTCCTGGAAGGCCAAGGGGAACATCACATGTTTTTT